TAATTCAGTAAAAAAAAAAAAAAAGAGTACAAAAAATCGAGGACTATTTTGTAGGTTGGTCAATGCTGTTACGAATCGTGTATCGAGTATCAAATTTTGTATCAAAACACGCAATAAAGCTATAATTTTGACATGGATTTGTGCTTGGAAACGAGCTTTTTTCTGAGTTCTTTGATAAGATGATAAAGATAGTCTTACAAATGAAGGAAAAATGACATAAAATAAGCATGCTAACTACCCAAAACACATCTGAAATGAAAAAAAAACTGAAATAAAAAACTGCTCCCTCCCAGGCCTTAGCGCCGCTAAGGGTCTTTATGTTGGATCCTTAATCCAACATTGGGCTAATATGTAAAATAATTATAGTATTGTGGTTGTCAAATAAAGAAGCCCTTATAAAAGTGATCAATTAAGGATTAAAGTTATTGGGCTTTAAAGTATCAATAGGGTGTGGGCCTTTAATGTGTAGAAACTAATGGGTCTTCTATTTTAATGATGGGCTAAAATAGAGATGCCCAATGTAACTTAATGTACATAAGGGTTGTGGTCCCTAGGTCATACGACATCGACAGATTATCTCTTCTGCATCCCATCGACAGAGAAGTTACGGAGAAAAGCTAAAGGGTTCTCTGAAAGGTACAGATCGTATAGACCTAGAAGGCCAAATCCCCAAATCAATCACCTATGGATTCAGGTACGCTTCCGCTATTCAGTTTTAATTCTCAATTATCCGATATGAAGGCTCCTGGATTAAAGCGATGTATTTCGCCTAAAGTTAATTCCAACAAGTGGTATCAGAGCCTCTCGTATTAAATTTTGGGAATCAATTCATCTTTGATCTTATTTATGCGATGAATCGATTCAGTTGCTTTGGGATCCAATATTCATATTGAATTTTTTTGGATTCAGTTTAAATGTATTTTCGATCCATGTGGATTTGGTGTTTAAGGTTTATGAATCCTTCAGTTTTGCTTTGCGGTTGATCCGCATATTGCTACTTCGCATAAAATATTTTGGTTGTTATGTTGTACAGAAAATATTTATGCATTTGGTTAGAAAATGCCAAACCATGTGCTTAATTGTAATGATTGATTTCAGGTATGATTGTGATTTATTTGCTGGCAACTCACAATTATATTCCATGAGTTATTATCGATTTATCATAATTATTGCATTCAGGATTTTGGAATTTTAAGTTGTTCACATGTTATATGGATGAATTTGGTTTT